GTGTAGAAATTTTGATCTCCCATTCAGTTTTACCTGTACATTTGAATGCCAGAATTTCTAAATCCTCTGATTAGAAAAGTTTAAAAGTCAAAACTTAATTCCTTCAGCCACATTGGTTGACTTATTAAATCATAAATTTCTTTAATTTTTTTCATTGTTGTTTACTTTCTCATATAGGTTGCCAGTGTCTTATTAAGCCTTATTTTTTACAAAAGTGGCTATAAATCTTTGCTTTTTCCTTCTTAGAGATCTTTGCTAGTTATTATGGTTACAGAATCTTACTTGTAACCCCCATTGTTTTGGCTGTGAATAGAGTGGAAGATTACAAGTGTGTTGTGAGGAGAGTCTTCTATGTATGTGAAAGGGAGCAAGGACAAACTGCCTAAAGCCCATAGATTCAGCATTTCTTTGATACTACATGTAAAAAGGTGGGAGCCTAAGGTCTGTCCCTGAAGGCTTTCGGTCAAGCCTCACCTTGGATCACCAAGTAAGATGTGTCTTAATTTTTGTAGCTGCCTGAATCTGAGTAATTCAGTAGATGAACAGGACATTTTTCCCGAGAGAGCAGTGACACCATAACTAAATATCTGAAACCATTAGGTGCCTTTTAGCACCAATTTTTAATGTATCATGTATAAACACTTGATTACTGACAAAGTCACAAAGACAAAATACAACAGGAAAGTCGTCCAGAGGAGTCATTTATGTGTGTAACAAGTTTAATTGAGCTAACTGAAGTCTTTAAGTCTAGTGTACTTCTTGGGAAAAAAAGAGCTGAGGAAACAAAACCAGGGTTTTGAAACTTTTTATATCAGGCTACTTCAGATAGGTACTTCTCAAACTGATACTGGCACAGTTTCTGAAGATGCTGTCACTTAACCAATAGGTTATTAACAGACTGATGCTTTTTTTTTTTAATCATTCTTGGATAAACATGAGCTCTGACTTTCAAGCTCTCTTAGTATAATAAGGATTCCTGAGAAGGCAAGTGTGATGGGTAGAGTCACTTGAGAAGTCATATTCTGGTGGTACTCTTGATCCTACTCAATTTACCAAATTAAAAATTAAGAACCTACTTTAATATCTCAGGAAAACTTACGTGAGGCCCAGGGTCCCATTCTCAGCACATATATCTGTTATGCAGTGTGTGCCTTAAGAAGTACCAGAAACAGATCCCTGTTTCCCAGGATAATTGCCTTAGGTTTTGTAGCCAGTCTCTAGCTGGGGCCCAGTAATGCCACTGAAATAATTTGATAATATCAAAAATCTAGGTTATAAAAGCTTTCTATTACTATACTGTACATCCTGGTTTTAGTGGGAGACCCTAATCTTTTATCAAGTGAGTACCATAAAGTCTTTGGGTATCCTTATTGACAGATGAACACAAATTGGTCTATTCCATTTTTGAAAGAAATCAATTATTTGTTGTACAAATCCATTACTATGTTGGGCATTCCTTCAAAATGTTGTTCTCTTTGATCCTTAGAAGGCTTTAGGTCTACGAAGTAATTGTGACTAGAATGTAAACTCATGTGGGCAGACATTTTTGTCTCTTATTTGCTGATGTCTCTCCAGTTCCCAGAGTGGTGTCTGGCACATAGTAGGTATGCAATTGTTGGTTTAATGAATGGCAAGTGAGTTTCAAAAATAACTATTACTACTACTATTCTGACACTTTTGACCTTTTTGGAGAAATTAGCCAAAAATAATACAGTTTCAGTTTTCATTTATCCTCATCTAATTGCTTTTTGTCTCTTAAAGGAATGCTGGAATAGTCTCAGGAGAAAATTGACCTGGGTCTATATGGCAAGAATAGCTTAATTATTTGGTAAAATATTGGTAAATATCAGAAGTCAGTGTTCATTTACTGGAAGGAACATTTCTCAGCACCTGACAGGCACATTGAGGAAGTTGCCTCTTGTTCAGCATCAAACTTTCCAAGATCCTTATGGTTACCTTCTTGCCTTCCTTTTGCAGTTTTATTGACCTTAAAGTCACCTTTGTTGTGAGCCACTTCAAATATATAGTTTGTATAACATTTTGTCTTTCAAAAGTCACCTAGTAAATATGAGCTGTTAAAATCAGGAATCAAAACTTGAATGTGGAGAGAGTGTTGCCTCAATTTAACAAAGATTATGTCATAAGCAGAAGCAAGTATGTGGAGAAATCAAGAAAATTTTTTTTTCATTAACAAAAAAAGTGAGGTACAATGGAGGTAACTATTCTAGAGAGAAATTTAATACAGTTCTATCTTTTTGATTATTGTTCTATCCTAATACTTCTGAAGATTTGTTATCTCTACCATATAAAGGAACCGTCAGGCGGGCTGCATTATTGGTCATAGTGCAAAATTCCAAGAGGGGAATTTGGCTCAGCTTGAATCAAGGGCCTTTATGACTCCAATTAGTGACGAAGGGGAGAGATGATACTGCATGAATATAGTTGTTATCCCTACACCCAAGCGGTTTGGGAGGTTGAGTAGAACATTTCCTTGAAAAAGGGTGCTGAAGAGGGGGAGGGTATAGCTCAGTGGTAGAGCACATGCTTAGCATGCATAATAAGGTCCTGAGTTCAATCCCCATTACCTCCATTAAAAAATAAAATAAGTATACCTAATTACCGCCCCCCAACAAAATTAAAATAAAAATAAATAAGTTTAAAGGGGAATACTGAAAAGAAAATCCAAAGGTGTCCTCTACAAAACACCTTAAAAGATAATCTAGGGGTAGGGAAATAGCTCAGTGGTGAAGTGCCTGTTTGGCATGCACAGGGTCCTGGGTTCAATCTCCATGTACTTCCATTAAAAAAATAAATAAACCTAATTACCTCCCCCTCAAAAACATTTTAAAAAATCTCATCACAAAAAGTCTGCAAATAAAGTTTCAAGATGTAGATTAATGGAAACTCAACAGAATTGGTATAGCTACCTGGGAAATGAGTTCAGCATTGATAATCTTGTAAAGTTGAAAATGTCTATACCCTAAAACTCGGTTTCACTTTAAAGCATTTATAGAACTACATGTGTGCACCATGGGGCATGTATAAGCAGAAGTAGTATTCAAAATACTTGACTTTGCCATATGGGCACTGACCAGTCAGACCACCAACTAATCCACATAAATAACCTAATAGGACCTTACAGAGGCGCAGCAGCTGATAACCAGACCGTGTATGGGAATGCCCATAGTATTCATAGTAGCAAAAAATAACTCAAAGGACCATTGACAGGAGCATTGATTCATTATATAGAATGAATATAGGGATGAAAATGATTCACTGTAATGCATTAGCATGTCTAAATCTTAAAACTATGAAGAATACAAAGTATTAAATTTACAAACAAGATTTGTGTTTAAGGACACTATATCTAAAGAAAAGAAAAGGGAATGGGAAAAACAAAAGTCACCTCTGGGGAAGTAAGGGGAGGAGGAGGAGGAGCATAAAGAATCTCAAAAATACTGTTTATGTTCTGTTTCTTGGATGTTAGGTTCATGATTGTTTTGGTGGGTAGTGGCTTCTCGAGTTTTTGTTTTATGCTCAGCCTGCATATATGTTACTAATACCCTTTTGTATATATCAAATATTTCATTTTTTAAAGTTGTATGCAATCCCATTTATGTAAAAGAGGCCTAGTTTTTTATTTAAAGTGAGAGACTTGCAACTCTTCCTTTCACCTGAACATTTGGGAGCCACTGTAGGGTTATTAAGTTGGCCTAATTTCAATTTTGTTGTGTCTTAGGGAATAGGCCCAAGGAGAGGGAGGGAGATGAGAGAATGGCCAGTTAGTGGAGCAGTCAAAATACACATTTATAGAGGAATTAAGTTTGCCATCTTTTATGGACTCTATTTGTGGCACCCCCAAAATAATTATAATAGTAACATCAAAGGTCACTGATCACAGATCACCATAACAAATATAATATTAATGAAGATGTTTGAAATATTGGAAGAATTGCCAAAAAGTGACACAGACATGAAGTGAGGAAATGCTGTTGGAAAAGTGGCAGTAATAGACTTGATCTATGCAGGATTGCTAAAAACTCATCAGTTTTTTAAAAATGTATCTGCAAGGCACAGTAAAGCAAAGTGGTATGCCTGTAGTAGACATTCAGTTGTTCAGTAAACATTCTGTATTCAAGGCTGGAAACTAGTAATCACAGTAAACTCTGATACTTTGGGGAAAAGAGAAAAACCAGGGAAAGAGAGAAATGAGGCTTGAAGCAGTGTTTTCTTAGAATCAATATTTAAGGTTTTCACAACTAGTTTATTATGCTTCTTGGTTCATTCTCCCATTTAAGGGCCACGGGGGAAACGTCCAAGGCATTTATAAGGAAAAATAAGTTCCAGGATTGTGTTATCTTACATGTAGGTGATTTTTGCCATCATCTAGCTGTGTGAGAGCCCAGGAGAGAAGGGAACATTCATTCTTCAGAGTTGCTGACTCAGAAACAGGTTGCTAGGAAGTACCGCAAGTTGGCAAGGCCAAATTACTTTTTAAATGTGATAATTGTAGTAACTGAAAAATCTAGAGACAGTCCAAATATCCAAATGATTTAAGTTTGGTCCATCCACTCTGGACTGTTACGCAGTCATTTAAAAAATTACAAAGACTATATAGCAACATGAAAAAAAAAAGGCCATGATATTTTAACGGGAAAAACTTTTTAAGTGGAAGGGAAGAGGCAAGGATGTCACTGACAAAAACTAAAAAGCTGTAAGAATCCTTTTATTTATTCATTAAACATTAAGCACCTACTACATCCCAGGCACCAGGCCAAGGACTAGGATGCTGCCAAAAAGAAAAGAATTTAGAACAGTAGATTTAGCAGGATAGAATAGTATTACCCCTTCTCACAAAGAGCCACGATATTCACACCTATGTTTTTTAGTTTAAGTGGTCTCTCCCCCTGCTGATGTAATTATTTTAACGTAGCAGTGATTTATAATCGATGCTGCAAAGTTCACCTCTGATTTCTTGTTCCCTGCTATTGATGTCTCCATTTGCCGAGGACCCATCAGTGTCTGTGCCTGGTGCGGTGGGGCAGGGGAGTGCCAGCCCTGCAGGGCCTCTCCATCTCACTGGGGGGAAGATAAATGGCTGTAATCCAAGTCTGATTTTGGTAAGTGCCCAAGGGGAGGGGGTTACAATAGAAGGCAGAAGGAAGTGTGGGAGGGTCGCGGCGTTTTGCCAGGACCTTGCTAAAAGGGCAAGTTAGGGCCCGGTAACGGTAGAAGGTGGGCGGGTCGCGAAGGCTCCTAACGCAGCGGGCGTTGGGGGCGGGGAGGCGTGGCGCGCGCAGCCTCGAGTGGACCCCCGCCCCCAGCGGCGTGCTCTGCGCGCTGATTGGCCCGCGACGGCCCCGCTCCGAGTTGGCGGGAGGTCTCAGAGCCGTAGTGGAGCGACCTGCGAGCAACCGTCTGAGGCCCCGGGCATCTGGGGGAGGCTGTCCGCTGGCCCGGCGCCCGCTCACCAGCCTCAGGTTTTGGCAGGTACCCTCCGCTCGCGCCCCGGCTTTGGGCGACTCGCCGGCGACTCTCCAGTTTCGGTTGCGCCTCGTCCCTCCGTTCCCTCTGGCAGCCCACCCCGCCCCACTCCGTGTGTGAGAGGTGGCGGCGTCTCGCCCCCTTCCGCACACGCTTCCGCCCGTGAGTCCCCTCAGGTGCCGGCGCTGCGACGAGAACACGCCCTCCAGCTCCTTCGGCCGGGGCTGGGGAGCGTCGCGGGCCGCGGGCCGAGGGGCGGCGGCGCAGTAAAGAGAGGGAGGCGGCGGCAGCGGCGCCCCTTGGGTCGGGTTGGTCGGGGTCCGCCGGCACGTTGCTCTCCGGATCAGTAGGCGGGGAAGTGGGGGACAAAGGACGGGAGATGCGTCCCCGGTGCTCGACGTGGCCGCCCCTCCTCTGGCGCGGGCGAGGTCCTCCCCGGGGCCTCACCCCCGCCTGCTGAGGAGAAAGGCCTTTAGTAGAGAGCTCGCGCCTCCCCCAGCCCGCGGCCCACCCTCCTTTTTTCTGCTGGACTCCGGCTGGTGGTATTTTGAGTTCGGCCTTCCTCTTTCTACTCGTGTCCCATTAAGCACAACTTTTTTTCCCAGGAGCATGTGCACCAGAATCCTGAGACCTGAGCTACTGCATCTCAGGACAGTGTCCTCAGCCCATTTCTCAAACTTTACAGATCTCCTTTTCTTCTATTTCCAGTACGACTGGAGACCAACTGGCTTCGGGGTGGGGGGGGTCAAAACCTCTTGAAGTAATTTAACATTTGAAGATTGATAAACCCGTGTGCTATGTTAAAATTGAGATCCTGTCTACTTACTTTTTATTCTTCATCATAAGCACATTTAAAATACCTATGATCTCTGAAACCAATAAAATTTTAACATTTAAATTATATTTATGAGTTGAGGTGAAATTTAGTTATCTGTCGTATTAGAACTCTATTTTCCTGTAAAAAAGATGCAGTAACAGTAGTGCTATATGTTGAGTTTTTGCTCAGCATTCAGCGCTGTGTATTATCCATATAGTTCCTTTCCTCATCAACGCTACAAAATATGTGTTAACAGTGCTGACTCAGTGGTAGAGTGCATGCTTTGCATGCAGGAGGTCCTGAGTTCAATCCCCAGTACCTCCATTTAAACAGAGAAATAAATAACCTAATTACCTCCCCCTCCCAAAATTTTTAAATGCCTATAATAGGTAATTTAAAATGAATACGTACTGTGTACCAGATTCTAAAAAAAAAAAAAATACGTGCTTTTATTATCTCAATATCACAGGTGAGAAAAGGGAGGCTCCCAGAAGTTAAATAGCTTAGAATCACATAGATAGTGAGAATCTGGTCTTAATCCAGGTCTGTTCCACAGTATTTTAACATATATTCTCAGCTAGCTCTGTGCCTTCTGCCTTCAGTGGTGCTTAAGAATCCTGTCTTTAAAAAAAAAAAAAAATCTTCATTTGAATACTGATGTTTTCTTCATATATCTAAACGAAGAGCAAAAATAAAAATTACCTCAAGTTGGAATTTGACCAAGTGTATAGCATTGGTAGCTTCTCTCCTTTAGCTCCTTCTCCATAACTCTCTTACTAATGTTTATTAACATCAGTGAATTTCTTTTGGGGGAATTTCAGACATTTCTTTCTCTTTCTCAAATTTTATATGAAGTGGGATAGTGTAAAAGTTTACTGTGAACATGATATTTGTATTTTTGATTGATAGAAGTTTTGCATTCTATTTCATGGTAATAAAACAACACTATTTTAAGTTACTTAACAATGAGTAAAGCTTACATCCTGGGATATATGCTGCAATTACTCTATATTCTAGCACATCTGACCCCCCCTCCCCAAGTCTAGCCCTCACACCCCAATTTGAAAAGCATGACTATTTAGTTTTTTCCATCTAGATTGTAAGGCTGCTCTTGCCTCAGAAAAGAAAAGATCCAGATGAGGCCTCCAGCTATCTCCCAGTTGAGGTGGGTAGGAAATAGCAGAAAGTTCTTGCACATTTCCATTTTTTTTCCTATGGAGTTTGTAGCAACCCACCCCCAACTCC